TTCTCGAAATATTTAGAGACAGGATATTTGTATCAAACTAACTCTTTACTTTAATCATATGATTTTCGTTAAATCATTTGCATTGTCCGATGGCTAAAAAATGGTAGTATCGGCTGCAAATAGTGTGAATTTTCCTAAGATATTTATACTTGTCAAATCGTTGAGGTAGATGAGAAACAATGTTGGCCCTAGTATTGAACCTTGAGGTGCACCATTACGTATTTTCCCAATTTCTGAGCGACGGGTTGTTTCCACCATCTGACTATGACCTGACAAATATGAGCTGAACCAGCTTAGTATCACAACCTCAAACACTTATTACCTGACTTAGTAGCGGAAGCTCATATCTGTAATTTTGTTTTTTGAATTATTTCAACCAAGCTTTGTCAATAAGATATGAGTCATCAGACAGTAAAGCATATTTTGACTTTGACTATGGCAGATAGAAATGACACTGTGTGGTTTGGATCACGAATGTTTTGTTTCTGGTATCTGGTTTCGTCTGTACACTGATGAAATTATTAGTTTACATTATTTACTAAACTATACCTTTTCGTAGATTTTCACTTTATTTGTCTGCTTGACCGCATCTACTTTCGCGGCCCCAAGTGGCGCTCATGGTGGAATTGTCTTATCTGGACCTTCTGGCGTTGTAACTGGTCATGGACCCATCGGCCCGGCTGCCCTAGGTCTTGATGGATATGGAGCTTACGGAGGACACGGTGCAGGTGCCTACGTAGCAGGACCTGCTGGGTCTTCAGCTTATGTAGCCGGCCCCGCGGGACCATCGGCTTATGTAGCAGGCCCTGCAGTTTCTCATGCTTCAGTCGTTGGACCTGCTGCTGGATTGGGCTTGGGATATAGCGGTGAGTATTTTCAACAGAATCGCAAAAACATGCGAAGACTATAGTGAACGCAAAACTCTTTTTTAATGAACTCTTTGCACTTATTTGTAAAATTATTTGTACGGTAGATTTGAATGTTGAGTAAATGACATGATGGAAGTGAAATTCTTTATGTTTTGTTGGGTAAAATAATTTATTTTTATAATTTATATCAGTGCTGTATATTCAAAATCAGGCTTGACATTTCACATATTAGTCAAAAGACATACACATGGTCTTATACCGCATTTCAATTAAAATTTATTGAATATTCAAACTTCCACCATTAAAACCCCGTTTTTCTTCAATGCTACCTACCTCTTCGTCAAGGTCATTTGACTAATGATCAGAGTAGGCTTCAGTTATGAGATGAACTTTAGGGCTTTCAGTAAAAATATGGTATAGCAACAGTCTTCATAAAATTATTTTACTATAGAAAATAGGATTTGGTTCGTTTTTCATTCAGTTTATTTATTAGATTTTTCTTTTACACTTTGGGAATCATTTGCGGAAAATTTAAAATTGGATCAACTTTCAACAGTTGCAGATGAAAACTTGAAAAAACTGTACCAACTTTTTAATTCAGTTGTTCACATCAATGAATGAGTACTACAAAAAAGTTTATGATACTTTCCACAAACTCAGTAGTTCAGAAACTAGGTAGAACGCAGAAAAATAAAACATATCCAGTTTTCTGGAAAATATACCTGAAGGGAGCAGAACTATGAAGAATTACTCAGACATGTTTATGAGAGTTTTGAAAAATTCTGTAAAGTAGTTCAGAAACTAGGTAGAACGCAGAAAAATAAAAAATATCAAGTTTTCTGGAAAATATTCCTGAAGGGAGCAGAACTATGAAGAATTACTCAGACATGTTTATATAGTTTTGAAAAATTCTGTAAAGAAGGTAATTACGTTGTTCTCTTGAAATCAATGAATTAGGAACTGGCAGAACATTCAGGAATCGAATTCAGGAACATCATATGAGCTATGTAAATAAGAAAACTAGTTCAATATATTTAAATCATCTTTTAGAAGAAAATCATATCTTCAAGGAAGAGTTCGAAATTTTACACATAGAAAATAAAGGTTTAAAACTGAATCACTTAGAAGCAATGGAAATTAATAAACCTAAAAATTCAAACATTTTAATGAATGACCAACTGGATTTGAATAGATCACCATTATTAAACTTGTTTTCTTAAGAAACGAGAAAGTATTATTATTGATGTAGAAGGGAGGTAATATGTTTCAGGTAATCATAGTTGAAGAGGTACCTCAGGAATATCAAGTTATAGAGGTTTAGGTAATTTGATTGAGGTAGTCTCAATTTTAGTTACCTGTGGTATATAAATATTAGCGTAAAGGTGCGTATTCACAAAAAAAGCGAGCATGATGTATGTGTATGTGTATGTTTGCTCGACATATTGATGTCTCGTCCACATCAAAGCGAATATCTTCGTAGTTGTAGTTGATCCATTTACTTTGTGCGAGCACCTTTTGATGTACCGCCTTTTTCTCGATCTTTTCTGAACGCGAACAAGCATACGTTCGCTCACTCGCTAGCCCGTACTCACCAGACGATTAATGATGCAGAATGCTCGTTCGCTCGTGCTCGTTTTTTTTGGGGAATACGCACCTTTAGAAGCAACTTGTAGTATTCAAATTACTGTTGAAGAAGCTACTATGTTTGCGAAACATGTGATATATTTCTCAAATAAAGTTTGTGGAGATCAAATCGTAAGGTGTAGTTTATGAATACAGAAACTGACTGAGTTTTCAAATAGTATTTCAAAATCAATATGAAAATAATTAACCTTTTTTATTTATGACTGGTTATGGGTTCAGGGCTTTTTTCTACATTGTATTGAAACTTGCAGCGATTAAAAGGAAGTACAAATTATGATTATATTTTTGGGGAAGGAAGTTTTTGGCTTCCTACTACTCCATCTTGATACAAAAAATGTTAGAATCTTCCAAAGAAAGGAAGGAAGTAATCAATTTAAAAAAAATAATTCTATACAAAGATGTGTGGATCATGCAAAGAAGTAACTTTCAGACACAAACTGAAAGAAAGTCCTCCTGAAACAGCTACTTTCATATATTGAATTACACGAAAGAAAAAAATTCTTTCGAAACAAATTCTTTTACATGAACACTGAATTATACAGGATATACTTTACTCAGTTTGTATTCCAAACATTCGTTATGGAATGAAATTCAGATATCATTCACAGGAGTTCTACTTTAAATGAATGGTAAATAAATTGCATTTACATGGAACACTGTCATCCTCACTGGTATACATCGATGTTTCGCCATAAGACACTTGCCTTAAGGCTCTTCAGTACCAAATTGGATAACATTATAGAAAATACATGCAATTCATTCATGAATTACGATTTTTAATGTCACGAAATAAGTTTGATCTACTTATGTCATCGATGACATCGTAATGACATTCATTCACCTATTTGATTAAATCCCAGCCAAGAGGAATCTCATTTGAATTGAAGGGGTTATATTTTTAGGAGTGATTGATTTTTGGGAAAGAAAGTTTTTGGCTTTCTACTACTCCATCTTGATACAAAAAAATGTGGGAATCTTCCAAAGAAAGGAAGGAAGTAATCAATTTGAAAATAAGTAACTCTATATATGGATGTGTAGATCATGCAAAGAAGCAACTTTCCGACACAAACTGGAAGTTTGTGTCTGAAACAGCTACTTTCATATAAACATTGAATTACACGAAAGAAAAAAATTCTTTCGAAACAAATTCTTTTACATGAACACTGAATTATACAGGATATACTTTACTCAGTTTGATTTCCAAACATTCGTTATGGAATGAAATTCAGATATCATTCACAGGAGTGAATTTAAATTCATTTAAAGTAGAACTCCTGTGAATGATATCTGAATTTCATATCACCAGATTGCAGATTTTTAGAACTCTTCAACTTCTACATATTGCCCCTTTCGTGAAGGGGGCATATTCATTATATTATTTCACTCATGAACTACTTTTTCATTATTTATGAAGTTCTGAGCCGAATCTGTGTTGTTCAATCTCCACGAGAGATATTTTTACCAATTACTGAAATACCAAAGATATGCAAAACGGAGACAGAAATAATATTAACTAACCTTCATTTGAATTTATAAATACAATTCTCAAAGTCACGGTTACTAATCTGATTTGTGCGTAATGGTTTCTTTATACGCATTTATTGAACACGCTTGAAAGGCAAACAACTGAAAAAAATTGAAAATTTTGAATTATAAATTTCGTGTTACATATGGAACCATCAATTCATTAGGGTGGTAAAAGACCAAGGGCTAGTTATTACTGGTTTCTGCGATTAGACAAGTATCGGCCAATGTCATCACAAAACTATTTCAATTATTATTCGAAGCTCAAAGTACATTTAAACAATATGAAGCGCACTGAAAATTTCTGCCGCAGTGGCAGACGAAACGCTTGGTACTTTAGGTTCTATTCGACCACCGGCTACTACCCCGGATTTTGTTCTCTTTATTTCTGATTCCGGCCATGGAAGCCTAAGTTCTTATATGATTCTCAAGTTACACAAAAATCTATTTGAATTGAATTTTTCCTGTTTTGATTATTCGCTAGAGCGATATTTGCCATCCTGTTCACGACCCTGCTGTGATCAGTTTTCAGTAAAATGACGTGTCAGTGAGTGATTGAAAAAAAAAGGAATTTCAGCATGGCTAACAGTTTCTTTTCTGGTACGCAGTAATTCCTCTCATTACAGCTCAAGTTCCCATTGAAATAATTCCTTCGAAAATACGGATCCAATTCCGAATTAGTATACATTTCCGATTTGTGAACTGTGACTGGTACTATACACTCGATATTCACGCTAGCTCGGATGAGTATCTATACACTGGTTGATGTTTCTCAGCTTCCACTATTCCTATGCTCAAATCTACTGGTTTTCCTTGATGCCTTACTCCACCAATTTTATGATCTTTGAACTGCTAATACCAAATATATCCAAGAAAATTGTAAATCGACGCTATTGAAGTAGTCTTAAACTTTTCTCTTTCTCTTTTTTTTGATTACTTGTTGATGTATCATTTTCTTACAGGAGGTCCTGGCCCTTTAGGATCCCTAGGAGGATTTGGTCTTAATGGTTTAGGTGGATACGGAGGGTACGGTGGATACCGCAGTGGTCTTGGTCTCAGCCATGGAGTTACGGTTACAAATGGAGGTGGCACTGTAGGTGTTAGTCCTCACGGAGTGACAGTCAAAGGACCACCAACTGTCCCTGCCACTATTGCTGGACCAGCTGGAAAAGTAGTAGCTGATGGACTGTATGGAGTACCGACCCACGGTCACGGATGGTAAAAATTGGAGGAAACTAGGCGAAAAGATACCGAAATGAATATTCAGTTGATATATTATGATTGTTTCAGAGAGTTCATTCATATTTGAGATTATATCATTTGCTTTATTCTCGTGGAAAAATTATATCCAAAACTGGACTTTTTATCAAATTTTCCAACGCCACGTACTGCCATAAGTCAAATAATTATTATTTCCTGCCAGTCTCAGACGAAATAAAGTTTCTTTAAAGTAAGTTATTCTATGAGACTATGGTGAGAATTGAGTACTTATTATTTCACAATTCTTTTGTAATTATTTGTTGAATTTGTTGTGATTACTGAGACTATTACTAAGATACATTATGTATTATGGTTGAATATTATTCAAATATAGTTAATGAAAATATACATTTTTTACAAAACTATTTGTTCCTTCATTAAAATGAGTAGGTATCAGAAATATGTATCGGAAGTGAAACTATAGTCAAGTGAAAGCATGTAAATGAGTAAATATATGTTTCGAATTCTTTGGGTTCTATTACCCTGAATCGCAACGTTAATGATCCAAAGGTGGTGAGCTCGAATCCCAGTTCGACCAGATATTTTTTGAGGGAATGTTGCTAGTTGAAGTTGGGTTGACTCTAAGTTACTTGGCTGATAGGAGTGCAATTATGCTTCAAAAGTGGCTCAGGGAGTTATTAACCTGCCCAGAACACTAGGATAATGACCAAAGTAGTGGATGGCGTTGACACGAAGAAATAAAATAGAAACATCTTTTTCGCCCCATATCTTCGAAACAAAGCATCCTATCAAAAATCATTAAAAGACAAAATATCCTTGCCGGATGTTTAATAAACACCCTGTATATCTAAGATTTCTTCCAGGCGCTTGAGTTCCGCCAGTCTCGAATATACCTACACGTTAGGTTGAATGGACTGACGCCTATCAGAAAACAACTAATCCCCTGGCTAATACCACGAATTGTTGGACAGCCCTTACAGGAAAAGGCAAATTTTTTGTCCCACGTATTGCGTTAGTGATGCCCATTCTAATTCGATGTGATTCAAATCTGGGTGGTAGGGAGGTAATCGTAAAACAATATGGCCATGTTGAGTTGAATTTTCATCTATCTCGAACGTTTTGAATTGTGACCGTTGTCCTTTTGAAATGAGCCAAGCTAGTCCTTCATTGGAATTATCGTTCCATCAAGTATCAACGGTATGCAAAGCATGAATGTATGTGCCATCCATATATACAATCGTTTTGTTTAATTGTATGTATGATAACATGTAAAAAAGCTATTCTTAATTGACGAATATCATGTCTCCCCATTAATATTTTTCTATTTGTTTTCATTTTTCTCTACTTTACGAAGAGAATCTTCTCTGTTCTGTTCTGTAACAATTCTTCGAATACTTTTTACTGAACCACGTATTGCAGCAATCACTCTTTCATACAACTTATCTAATGGAAAGTTAAGTATCCCCAACGTTTTTAAATATGTTAGAAATAACTTCACGAGTTTGACTATTCAAAATATGCAATTTACTTTCAAACTCCATCACTAATTGAATACGGTCTTGAATATGGATGTTTACGGCTCGAATAATCTAACAGACTGATAACAGATTTCTACACATCTACTGCACATCTTGAAGGATGGGCTTCCCACTGACCACGGCTCAGTCCGACAGCTGAAAGTGAAATTTGATTCAGTAATATAACGAGAGTTTGAAGTACAAACTGAACAGAGAATAGTGTTTTTTGTATGATTTGATGTTCATATAAAAGTAGTTCTTCAGAACGTGTTTTTTATTTCGTGTAATTCAATGTTTATATGAAAGTAGTTGTTTGGGGAAGGTTTTTTTCTTTCATTTTGCATGGTATACACATATTTGTGGGACGTTTACTTTAAAATTAATTGCGCTCATCCATTTTGATATAATGATGGAGAAGTAAAGACCCAAAACATTTCCTTCCCAAAAATTAGTCTCTCCTAAAAATATACCCCTCTCAATTTAAACAAGATTCCTATGGCTGGAATTAAATCAAATAGCGAGTAGATTTAACTAATTTGTGACATAACTTCGTAATTTCATGAATGAATTGAGTGATCCATCTTGAAATGTCATCTAGTTTGGCGCTGAAGAGGCAATAATGCAAGTGTCTCATTTCGAAACATTTACGACCGCTATTGAGGATGACAATGACACCTCTATACAGTGCATTTCTTCAATGTCCCCCCACTTTTATTTTTTGAACGGATCATCTCAAAAAATTGAAATTTGTGGACATGAAATTAATGCATGAATACTTTATTTTGAAGTGAAATTGATAGATCAACTTTCAAGATGGCGACTGGGCCATGGAAAAAAAAATTAAATGGAAAGGGGGTCTTGTGATACATCTTTTTGAAGCTCCTGACAAAAGCTTCACAACCCTAGAAGATAATGTCAATATTTTCATCTACTACAAAATGGCGGAACTTTTAATAATTGCCTGAATACATCGACATTTAACTACATAATATGAGGTAATAAGCTTGAGGTCAGTTCAGAAGATGCTCGAAATGGTTGGTTGCCTTGAACAGCCTATCCGATATTTCACGCCAAAAATTTTCGAACACAGTAACGTCAATATCTCTAAAAATATTTATTATTCTCTGCCGTATATCCAATATTGGAGCAAGTTCAGTTTCGTACACCTTTTGCTTCAAATAGCCCCATGAAAAAAGTCCAAAGGTATCAAATCTGGCGAGCGGGCTGNTATGTCAATTAACAACTGAGCAAGAGCAATTGAAAATGAGATCGCCCGCGATACATTTTGACGTCATACCAAGCAACGAGCTTCGAGCGGTGGCAACCGGGTCTGTAGTTGGAGATTATGAATCGCTGCCATCATCGCGTCGCCAGCACTCACTTGTCGCCGAGAGTCGATTGATGTGACGTCAAGCTTGACCACATTCAACTATTAATTTGAGGGGGGAAATAAAGAGTGAAAATTCAGATTTTTTGTAGATGTACTATTTGAAACATAAACTTTCAAATAATGAAATAAAAAAAAAAGTTGAATGAGCCCTTTATCTTACAAATGTCTGGAGTTCAAAATGAATGATTCAGAGGGATTTTTTCTTGTTTGTAAATAAAACCACTTTGGCATGATCTGGACATCTTTGTGGTATTGGTCTATTTGATTACTTCCTTCCATTTTTTCGGAAGTTTATCACTATCTGTATAATGATGGAGAAGTAGAAAACCCAAAGGATTTTTCCCCAAACTAATCCCCATTTCAATTTTAATTTTCTTTCAACTAGAACATCGCTAATAACGTTCAAGTATTTATTCAGAAGTACAGTCATCATTGGTGGAATATTTGCAGTAAACATACATGAACTCGCTGCAAGTTCAAAGTCAACCTGAGGCTCTCAGGCCAAGGGTAAATGAATGAAACCAGTTATCATAAAAGATCCATTGAGGATATATTTCAAATCGTAAAATTAATACATGTCGTTAAACGTGAAATCGTAATTCTTCATCTTCAGCCATGGTGTTTGTTGTGTGGATGATATCCACCTGACTGATATCTTGGATAGTTGTGTTTTGGGTAATTGTTGTATTTTGGGTAATGTTTGGAACCAGTGACGACGGCAGGGATGATCATGAGCGCTGCAATGATCAGCATGAAGAGTGCCTGCAAAAAACATAAGGATGGAAGCCATTTGAGCAATGAAATGGATGAAACTTGCATGAAATATATATTTCAGGGTTATGAATTCATTACATAATGAGATGTTATGTTGATTTTTGAATTGTATCAAAAGTGATTTTTTCTTGATGTTTTTGTGTTTGCTCTCAAGAGAGCCGATTTTTATTAACCCACAATTATGAATTTTTCAGATAATAGAAGGTTAGAAACCTAAAAAACATTGGGAAATACCGACTCCTCCACAAAAATAATGTCTTTCGAAGAATGTTTTTTGTTTCGTATATTCAAATACCAATACAGGAGACTTGTGTATATGAATTGAAGGGGTTATATTTTTTAGGAGTGATTAATTTTTGGGAAAGAAAGTTTTTGGCTTTCTACTACTCCATCTTGATACAAAAAAGAAGGGTGAGGGGAACGCTTTGAAGAACGTANGAATAACATCAGGTTTTATGAAATTGAATGATGCAAGCAACTCTGGACAAAATTGATGAATTATGTTGTGGTTTGTAATCATGTGAGGTACTTTCTATCTGAATTACCCATAGAAAGAATAAATAAAGCAATGATAATATTATACAATCAAATAACTATCAGTAACCGCCATTATTTTATGTGGAAATCTTACTGTTCTGCAAAGTTTTCAAACTCAGCTTCATAAGAACACTTTTAATTCGAAATAGAAAATTTTACTCTGCCCAATTCCAACTATAAAACTTTTTTCGTAATTTTCTACTGTTTGAGGGTTATTTATTGTATGCATGAAAGAACAATTTGTGGAGATCATATAACAAAGAAAAAGCAAAAAAAATGTTTTTTGGAAAAAAATTGAGCCAGTCCGGCCGAAAATTCTCATTAAAACATAAAAAATCAATTCATAACTCAAAAACTAGAATGAACACCATACATATGAGAGTGATCCTAATGATTTTTGAGAAAATGGATTTTTTCAACGTCTCTGACTGAGCAACCCCGAATTTAGTCTTTCTTCTACCTATCTCTTGATTTGAAAGTTGTTTTTCATACTATTTTTAGTAAAACTTGAAACAAGTTACTCGTTTTTAGTTTTAATTTGGAAATATGTAAAAGCTTACACAGCCTACATACATTTTCGTACTGGAATTCACATGTTAAACGGTAAAATCGCTTTATTTTTTAGCTTCACTAGATTCACAGGAACGACAAATCATTTAGATCATATTCATTTGGAAACATTGTTTTGGAGGTTTTTCCACAAAGATGCCTATCTCCAAATGAAAGAGTTCTCAAATAGTGTAGTTCGAGGTGTATCAAGTTGAATCTCGAAGCGATAAGAAATGTTTTTGCAGAAATCTTAGGCATTATTCGAAAGTTAAAGTGATTCATGTGAGATAATATATCAATACTCTTTGAAATATTACGCTCTGGGGCATTTACCTTTACAGTTTTACGATAAAACCATCTATGAAGTCGATTTAAACGTTGCTTATCGAAGATATAGCTTGGCTTTGCAATAAACAGCCGAAGGAATAACCAAGGCTTGTTTTTTCTGTTGATCCCAGAGATAACGCCTTCGTAGAAGAATCGTTCATGCGTACTACTTTTATTCGTGCTAGATAATATCTGTAAAACGAACGTAATTTGCTAAAAATGTTCCCTTAGCAGTTTATAAGTTGCCAACACCTTTTTTGGGAATGAACTATCAACTGAATTTCCGGGACTATTTATTGAGAGTGATTTGAAATTTGAAGACCAAATCAGGGGTCTCAAATCAAAGTTGTCATCTGTGAGGCGGATATTTTATGAGTTAGAATTTGCAGCTGTCATATCACTCATATCACGTCATATCACCTACGATATGGGATCTCTTTCTGGGGTGCATGTACTGTATCAACATTGCTATCAACTTCAGTTATACAGAAAAGAGCTATACGTTTTCTGTGTTAAGCAAAACCACGAGATTCTTGCAGACCACTGTTTGAGGAAAAGAGAATCCTCACTGTAATATCGATTTTTATCTTGAAACTATATGTCCCATAGTAAAACATCAAAATCGGTTTTCAATTAACGCGGACGCTACTCGCCAAAAAATCAACTTTAAGTTGTTCATTCCAAAATATTCCCTTATTAAAGACTCTTTCATTTATAATGGGTTGAAAATATTCAGTCACCTTCCTTCGTATTTAAAAGGTGCATGTCATAACATGAATTTCAGAGAGAGCCTATTATAATTTGTCAGAGTACTATCAAGATACTTTTCAATTCGACTTGTGTCTGAATCTCAATACATTTTATGTAATCAACATTGGACATTCTTCAAATGATGTATTCAAAAAATACTTCATTGTGAGATTTTCACTAAACAGTTTTCCAAAAACGCAACAGATGTTTCGCCATACAATGGCTTTTTCGGGCGTGTCTTTACTCCCTTTATGTAAATTCAAATTGTTTTTGTTTTCTTTTTGTCCTTATTTGTTGTATATACATATGTTCATTCACTACTTAGAATTTTATTCAACAAACTCGCAATGTATATTATTTTATAGTGTATAGTTTCTCAAGAACAGAGAGAGATAGAGAGGAGAGAGAGAGATAGAGAGAGAGAGAGAGAATATACCTTTTTGTCATAAGACAGTTTTTATGTAAAAACAACTTTCAGTTAATACATAAAATCCGTTTGTATATATGTGTAAGAATATATAAGTCATAGAGAGGGTACTGGCAAATAATAAATTGAAAAAAAACCAGTTTGAATATATGAAAACATACCAGGATGCTGGTAAATAATAAATAAGATTTTATTTTAATTATCATTATAAAATTCTTGTTTATTATAGTATGGTCTATCACTTAAAAAACCTTTCATAGCCTTCCTGAAGCATTGTAAAGACTTTATTTCTGTTACATTCTTTGGCAAGTGGTTGAACATTTTACAACCATTATAGACAATGGAATCCTTCATGACTGATGTCGTTGGTATTGGCAATTTAATGTTGTTGGATTGCCTTGTCACTAATTACCCATTTCTTTTGGCTAAGTTGGATGATCTGGACAACAACGACATGTGGTTTCAACAGAACGGCCCTACGTACCACACAGCTCATGCCACTCTAGACTTCTAGATACACCAGTCAGACTGTTTCGATTACTTTCTTAGAGTAAAATTAGTGCATGAGACACTTTTTCCCTGTTTTGGGCTCTGCCAAGTAGATGGAGCTACATAGCTTGGCAGAGCCAAGCAGATGGAGCCCAAAACAGGGAAAATGTGTCTCATGCACTAATTTTACTCTAAAAAAGTAATCGAAACAGTCTGATTGATGTGTCTATTACCATTTCATGGTGGTTGTACGGCTTCAGTTTCAGATGAAGGCTGCATACTTTATGCATACTGGTATAACTTTAAGAAAATTAATACCAGACATACACTAATAAAAGGTAATATTCCGAAACCAGCCTGTTGGTGATCATTTGTTTCCGTTGTACAACGAGAAGTACCTATATCTACAGTGATTCTCTCTGCCGGATGTAAATATACAGAGTGGTCCAACGAAAAGTATGCACCTTGCTTTTCTCCTTTTTTTGTAACTTAACGCAAAAATGTTCGGACAGGTCGATTTTGCTTTTGAGGGGGACACATTTTAGATGTATTTGTCTACCTGTGCCTTCAACCCCCTAGCGAGGGTGAGTAACAACCCTGAAATTTTAAATGGAAAGTGGGGTCGTGTGATATATCATTTGAAAGGGCACATAATTATCTTTCCAATGATACCTAATTTGTTGTATTTCACTCAAACATGTAGGTATTATGAAGGAAAACAACTACAACCCAGTACTTTGAAATGTGTAGTTGATTAGTAGAAGCCTACTTCAGCAAGTGCTGAAAATGGGACCCATTTGATTACATACAATAAAACAGATTTTGTTCAAATCTATTCCTAACATTCTGTAGCATATCAGGTGTTATACTTCTGCACTCTGCTGTAATTCGTTGGCTGTATAACTCATTTCTGCATCATTATTATTGTAATTTGAATTGATGCCAGTCTTGATGAACTATTTTTCAGTTATATCAACAAAATATTTTAATGAGCTCAATCGATACTAAAACGAAAAATGTATGATCCACAAGACTTACCCAAAACTTTGCCATAATGATGATATATGCAAATTATTTTTCGAGGTATAATCACCAGAAGAACTGAATGTTGTTTATATCTTAAATCGTAAATAAGCTGGTATTTATATGATTCTTAGGCACGCAACAGGTGGAATCGTTTCCCGTTCTACCTCCTGCTGTGTTTTTCATTTTCCAAGAAAGGATGCGCTTCAAGAATGTTCGAATTAGCTGTTGAATTGAGACAACAAATATTTGGCAGAACTGAGTAACAAACATTTCAATGTAGGATTTTCATTAAACTTTTTTATTGCGATTTTTTAAGTAATTTCACTTCAATGAATTTTGTCACTTTATTTACGTCAACAATTGTGAAACATTGTTGGTGGTATTCTCCATTGGAATGGAGAAGAAGGTCGCAAATAATCCAGGGCGTTATTCTCCCCATGCACATAAAACTCTGGAAAAATCCACAGCACCATCTTGATGAGGACTTTAATTATGTATTGAATCAGAATGAAAAATCGATATTGATAATTTAAAGAGTTTCAGTTGCAAAATCAAAACCTTCGGAACAGTTACAATCCTGGTTGTAATTCTAATGTACCTACCACAATTTCCACAACCATACTAGTTGCCATGAGTAAAACATGTAAGTTGCTCATAATGGTCTAACAACACCTTCATGTTCATTGAATCTCAAACTTCTGACAAGGGTAGATTCAAGTGTAAGTTTTTAATATTGACGATTTTTGCACATGGTTCTTATTTGTACAGCAATAGGATTACGCAGAAATTATTTAAGTGGTTTCGAAGTGTTACCCCTCGTCAATGCAGGACTGATCCAACCAAGAAGCAGCGCGTCCAGGACTTGAATGATTTCATTGTAGGCCTACCTCTTATAAGTTAAACTCTGTTCTTCTTCCCCATTTAGGTCTTTGTTCACAAACTATCACTATTGCAATGTAATCGAAATAGATCCTGTCTCAACGAAGATTTCATATATACGGTCGACTTACGTTTGAAGGTTTCTTCTGGTTCCTAAATTCGATAACGGTTTGAAACCGCATGCAACAAATTGCGTGGTAGTGATAAATCCTTGACAGTTCATAACTAACTGTACGAAATTGTTTGTTAAAGCCAACCCGAAGAGAAATCGACCGATTTTTTTGTCCCTACCGAACATAGTTTGGCAGATAAGAGGGAGAAATCATCCATATTAAAGAGTGAGGGAAATCTGAATGGCGAACTGTCGCAATCTATGCAAGGTAAGACATATTGATAGGGAATTTGAAATGGATTCAGGGAGTGATATTGCGAAATGAATTTGAGTTCAACATCTATACGTCGACGAAACGCAAGATCTGCTAAAAACATCGCCTTTGTCTGTGAGAGTGTGCAGGAGAATCCGAGACAGTCGATTTCGCGTCGCTCACAAGAACTCGGCCTTTCACAGATCACAACTTGGTGAGTTTTGCGTCGTGATCTTAGTCTGCACCCTTACAAAATTCAACTGACCCAGGAGCTGGAGATAAATGACCATGGACAAAGACGTGTGTTCGCTGAATGGGCCTATTTCTGGATGAATGGGTACGTGAACAAAAAAAAATGGCGACTTTGGGGCGATACCAATCCACATGAGATCAAAGAGCGTTAATGCATCCAGAAAAGTCACTGTTTGGTGTGGATTTTGGGCTGGTGGCATCATCGGTCCATATTTCTTTGAGAACGACGTTGGCCAGACTATCACTGTTAAAGACGAGCACTATGGGTTGATAATTACCCATTTCTTTTGGCTAAGTTGGATGATCTGGACAACAACGACATGTGGTTTCAACAGAACGGCCCTACGTACCACACAGCTCATGCCACATTGGATATTCTGCATGGCCACCGAGATCATGCGATTTGATCCAGTTGGGCCTTTTTTTGTGAGGTTTTCTCAAGTCGCAGGTGTGTGGGAATAAGTCACAAACCACAGCGATCCTCAGAGCCAACATGTAATACCATCGGTCAAATTCAGCCTGATTTATGCGCCAGAGGTCTAGAAAATTGGAAGTTTCGAATGCGCTCTAGACTTCTAGATACACCAATCAGACTGTTTCGATTACTTTCTTAGAGTAAAATTGGTGCATGAGACACATTTTTCCTGTTTTGGGCTCTGCCAAGCAGATGGAGCTATATAGCTTGGCAGAGCCAAGCAGATGGAGCCCAAAACAGGGAAAAAATGTCTCATGCACTAATTTTACTCTAAGAAAGTAATCGAAACAGTCTGATTGATGTGTCTATTACCATTTCATGGTGGTTGTACGGCTTCAGTTTCAGATGAAGGCTGCATACTATCGGTATAACTTTAAGAAAATCAATATCAGACATACACTAATAAAAGGTATTATTCCGAAACCAGCCTGTTGGTGATCATTTGTTTCCGTTGTACAACGAGAAGTACCTATATCTACAGTGATTCTCTCTGCTGAATGTAAATATACAGAGTGGTCCAACGAAAAGTATGCACCTTGCTTTTCTCCTTTTTTTGTAACTTAACGTAAAAATGCTCGGACAGGTCGATTTTGCTTTTGAGGGGGACACATTTTAGATGTATTTGTCTACCTGTGCCTTCAACCCCCTAGCGAGGGTGAGTAACAACCCTGAAATTTTAAATAGAAAGTGGGGTCGTGTGATATATCATTTGAAAAGGCACAAAATTATCTTTCCAATGATACCTCATTTGTTGTATTTCACTCAAACATGTACGTATTATGAAGGAAAACAACTACAACCCAGTACTTTGAAATGGGTAATTGCTTAGTAGAATCCTACTTCAGCAAGTGCTGAAAATTGGACCCATTTGCTTTCATACAATGATACAGATTTTGTTCAAATCTATTCCTAACATTCTATAGGAGTTTTCCCATCAATATTTTTTTGCCATATCATTAAAAGTCAAACAAACAGCACTTTAATATTATTCAATTTATGTAGCAAATATTGACAATTGTGGGTTATAAATAAATGGTAATTGTGATAATTTTCACATACCTAATGTAAATTATACGTTCTCTCGGAAATACCGGAATTAAACAATGAAGTATGGAAACTCCTCTCTTCATTATTTTTCAATGGTTCAGAGCTTTTTATGTCAATTCATGATTACCCTACTCACTCACGTGGTTATACTATGTGTTTGAGTCAAATGGTACCATATACGTACTAATCTAGTTGATATTGATTCATTATTTTCTACATTGGTTGCCTAGGCGAAGTTTGAATCTGTTGAAAAATTAATTTTTCCGTTAATGAGAGCTCAAAAATATAGTATACTGTGTGTCAAAATAACATATTAGGCAAATCTCCCTTCCAGAGTTTAATGTGCTTCATAATGAGATTTGGTAAAGATAAATGGTGAAGAGAAGGAAGTTTTTGTATTTTTCCATTCTCCTGGTTCGTATTTTCAACTAGAATACCCTGAATTTCCTAGGATGTGATATTTTAAAACTTCATTTTTAGAGTCACTTTCAATATTGCATGTAAGTGGCCATGATCGGACGTAAACCAAGTGATCTGAAGTGAAATCAGAAACTTACAATCACAAAGTTTGAGTGACCAGTATGATATATAGGAGAAAAACAACTCAATATATTTTGTGTCTATTATTTTTGTCCAACAATTTCTGAAAAAAAGGCTGCAATGAACGAGAAGATTACTATAAGAAATTTGGCCACTACTTATAAGCTTATGTTAGTGCAAGAACTACTTATTGGACTTGATAAATTTTGCAAAGCTGAACTAACAAATTACTGATTCTTTCAGTTTTGTCTATGCGTTCTCACAATAGTTCCAATATGTTTTCAGAATACCTATTTGTTCTAGTTGAAGCATCTTCATAAGAATATGACATACAAATTTCATTTCCGAATATTTTGTTATGAGTAAGTATTTAGCTTGTTGAAAATATTCACAAAATTAGCGTGGAACATTGGAGAAATGAAAATTTTGAGAAAAAATATGCACAAATGACTTGATTTCGACTACTTTCAGTAAGGGAGCAGCAATAGATAGCTGCTACTTGGTGAAACTGCGAAACACGTCAATTCCACAAGTCTCTGACATAAGATACCTAGGAATCAATATTGATTCTAAACTTACCTGGAGCAATCATATTGAGTATATAAAATGCAAGTTTAGTACACACATATTTCTACTCCGTCAACTGAAAAACACACTCTCTCTTGAAGTCTTGAAAGTGGTACATTTCAATTCATTGGGGTGCTACATCCAAGGCACAAGAAATATTCGCCATTCAAAAAAAGCAGTGAGGTTTTTAAAGGCGGTACGCCTGAGACAACACTACAAACCACTCCTTGTTAAAATTATTTTATATACCACTGCATTGTCTATGTGTGGAAAAATATTACTAATATTACTACTTGTGAACACTCTCATGACTATTGTACTAGAAATAAATATAAACTAGAACAACCATTCACTAGATTATCAGAGTCGCAGAATCATCCGGGATTGATGAGTGTCAGGCTCTATAATGCTCTTGACGACAATATCAAATCTGCCTCTAGCTTACATTCCTTTGAAGCTAAGCTGAAAAATAATCTTGTGCTGAAAGCACACAACTCCGTTGACGAATTTCTGTAGAAATGAACTTATTTTTACACCTCGACACGTGTCGAGGTGTAAAAATAACGATTTGGTGTTGGAAAAAAAATTCGAGTAATATTCATTACTACACCAAAGGTTCCAAACAGTACATCATAATTACTTACGTCATAATTTATAAAGATGTGAGAATATTTCAGAACCTGCTGTACCAAAACCATAATCCATCACTTCCTTCGGCATTATACTAATTGAAAGAACTCCATAAATCTGCCAATGTCTCTCATGCCAACCCTGAATGGTTTGTTTATAGAATTGCAAGATATGTTTTGAATTGTTTCTTTGCCGTGTTTCAGTTTAGGTTAATCCAATTTCTATTTTATTCAGAGATGGACATTGACTATAATTTCTTTTCAAGCTGCGCGACATTAGTAGGTATCACAATACTTCTTATTCATGAATTGGCGGCATACCGTTCAAACAATGCTGTTATTTGATTCCATTTGTTGTATTT